GTGACGATTAGATTAAGGTATCTGCAATCATAAAATGCTATGAGAAGGAAATGAAACAGGCCTATGACGTAGGAAATGGTGAAGGAAGTAGTAAGGCTAGCAGTGCAGAGTGTGGTAACTGTCTTTGGCAATAAATTACATTAATGTATCTGCAATCCTAAAATGATATAGGAAGAGAGGGAAACAGGTCCATGACGTAGGGGGTGGTGAAGGAAGTAAAGGTGAGCAGTGTTGAGTGTGGGAATGGATTAATGTATCTGCAATGCTAAAATGCTATGGGAAGAGACCGTAGACTGTAGGTTAAAATGATAACGTTGCACGAATTGGTACATATTTTCGATACATGCAATCGTTTACAATCGAAGTTTACAACTGAGTTGACAACAGCTGATTTTTACTCCATTGAGGCTAAACACGATTTTTCCTCCCTAAAGAGTAAAAATGCTACTTTAGACCCGCAACGCGTTAAACGACTGTTTTTACTGGGTGAGGTTCATTTGTCCGAGTTTTCAACTGTCCGAGTTTGTTAAAAATTACAAAATATTTGAAAAATCATTTGTCCGAGTTTTCAACTTTCCGAGTTTTGATAAATAACTAATAATAATAAGTTAAATCAACCGTCCGAGTTTTCATTTGTCCGAGTTTATTAAATTATTTTAAAAAATATCGAAATATCAAGTGTCCGAGTTTTCAACTGTCCGAGTATGGTTTAAATAATAATAATATTTCGTTAAATCAACTGTCCGAGTTTTTAAATTATTTAAAAAAATATCAAAATATCATTTGTCCGAGTTTTCAACTGTCCGAGTAGGGGCAACATCAAAATGTGACACTGCGCGCCGAGACTAGCGTGTCTAAAGCGCCTGTTCAGAAGTCGATGTGAACCCCTTCTGTGACGGAGTCAGGCATTGTGCAAGCCAAGAGAGGCCCTCACGCCGAATTAGGAAAATTATTCTATTTTTATTTAAGACTAATTTTACAATTATTAATTATAAAATTAAACTCTCATCACCTAACACAACCAACCAAACCTGCTGATAATATAAAATACCCCCGCCATTATTATATTATCAGCAAGTTTGGTTGGTTGTGTTAGGTGATGAGAGTTTAGTTTTATAATAAATAATTGTAAAATTAGTCTTATATAAAAATAGAATATTTTTTCTTAATTCGACGTGAAGGCCTCTCTTGGCTCGCACAATGCCTGACTCCTTCACAGAAGGGGTTCACATCGACTTCTGAACAGGCGCTTTAGACACGCTAGTCTCGGCGCGCAGTGTCACATTTTGATGTCGCCCCTCCTCGGACAGTTGAAAACTCGGACAAATGATATTTTGATATTTTTTTAAATAATTTAAAAACTCGGACAAATGAAAACTCGGACAGTTGATTTAACGAAATATAATTATTATTTAAACCATACTCGGACAGTTGAAGACTCGGACACTTGATATAGCCTATCGATATTTATAATTTAATAAACTCGGACAAATGAAAACTCGGATAGTTGATTTATCTAATTATTATTAGTTATTTATCAAAACTCGGACAGTTGAAAACTCGGACAAATGATTTTTCAAATATTTTGTAATTTTTAACAAACTCGGACAGTTGAAAACTCGGACAAATTATGTGATCCCTTTTTACTGCAGTATGAAAAAAACATTATAATATGAACCCTTGATGACTCCGCTCAATTTTGTGGATGCCTCTGCGAACGCCACCTAGTTAATGAATGCTCCCATACTAACGCATTACAATCCAGAGTTACCCATCATTCTTGCTGCAGATGCATCAGCTGTAGGAATCAGTGCTGCAATTTTTCATATATTTCCTGACAACTCTAAAAAGTCTATTGCATATGCTTCGAAAACATTGACTTCCACTGAAGCGAACTATTCTCAAATAGAAAGAGAAGAGCTGGCCATTATTTTCGCGATAAAGAAGTTTCGCCCATACCTACTGGGAAAACACTTCATTTTACAGACCGACCACAGACCCTTGCTTAAAATTTTTGGATCTAAGAAAGGGGTACCGACCACAACTGCCCATAGACTTCAGCGTTGGGCACTGATACTTTCTAACTATACGTATGACATTGAATACATATCTACAAAAAATTTTGGTAAAGTCGATGGTTTGAGTAGATTACCGTCATTTCAACCTAATTCTTTCGATTCCAACAATGAGGGACACCATACAATAGTAGCGACAATTCAAACAGAAGTGCAGTCTGAGATCCCTATTACTTGTACAGAAATCACTGAGGAGTCTGTTAAGGACCCTGTTTTGAACAAGGTGATGCACTATGTAAAAGTTGGTTGGTCTAATAAGTGTCCAGATGAGAACTTGAGGCCTTACTTTTCTAAGAAAGATGCACTGACTCTGCATAATAACTGTCTTCTATGGGGAATAAGAACTGTTATTCCACCTAAATACCGAACTTACATCATGGACTACTTGCATGAATCTCACATTGGCATGGTCAGAATTAAGTCTGAGGCTCGGGGTCATGTCTGGTGGCCAGGTATGGATGCTCTAATTGAACAGACTTGTCACCGTTGCCGTGAATGTAACTTGTTTGCAAAAAATTTACCAAGTAAAACACATCTAGTCAACTGGCCTAAAGAAAGTGAACCTTGGAGTCGAATCCATTTAGATTTCGCTGGACCATTTTACGGACAAATGTTTCTCTTAGTGATTGACGCTTTCTCGAAATGGCCAGAAATAGTACCTATGTCCTCTATTACAACAGAAAAGACCGTAGAAGCGCTCAAGAATTTGTTGTGTAAATATGGTATACCTATAACAATTGTCTCAGACAACGGAACTTCATTTACTTCGCAAGGTTTTAAAGATTTCTGCTTGTGTAATAATATCAAACATATTACGACTCCAGTAGCTCACCCAAGTTCAAATGGACAAGTGGAGAAAAATGTAGATACCTTTAAAAGAGCTCTGAACAAATTACAGTACGATAAAAAGCCTAGCTTGTTCACAGACAACTTGAGGACATTTTTATTTCGCTATCGAGCTACACCTCACACTGCAACTGGACAAACACCTGCATTTTTGTTCTTTGGTCGTAATCTGCGAACTAAATTAGATTTTATCAAACCTTCACAAGAGATAAACCTTCTGAAGTGCTGCGATATAATATAACGAAAGGCTTTTCTATTGGAAGTAAAGTGTACATTCGTACTCTTGTTGAAGGGAAAGTAAAATGGAAAATATGAACCATACTTAGACAATTAGGTACTTGTATGTCAAATTAGGAAATGCTACCAAGACAATGAATCAGAAGAGGAAGACGACCCCTGCATTAAACAATTACCACAGCTACTGTCTTCTTCAGATTTCCAAGTACGAAATCCAGAAGTACATGTTCGGAATTCAGAAAACCATGGATCACCAGCTGTATTTTCTAGCCCTAGAACATTCCCTGCAGTAGCTTCACAACATCCGATTGTCACTCCTCAGCTATGACCTAGAACATCCCCTGCAGAAGCTTTACCACACCCGAATGTACCTCCTCAGCTGCGAAGATCAACAAGGACCTTCAGGCCACAGAGGAGGTTAATTGAAGAAGCCTAAACTTGGTGGAAAGAAGTGATATGTCTTGAACATTATTTAAATTGCCGCTGACTTTTAACTTGTTTTTGTTATTTTTTTTTATTTATAGTTTTTGACTCATGAATTAGTTCAGTTCTATTTTATAAAACAAATTTCAATTTACCTATCAATTAATGTATTTACTTCAAACATAAAACTTATCTTAGTACAGAACTACTAATTACTGTTTAAAATTGAATCCCTGACTATTATACATGTTAGAGTCCCTTTAGTTATGTTTATTTGTGAGTGTTTTAATGGACAACAGGTGTATCAAAGTCCATTGTTAATCATATTGACTATTATCATGTGCAATTTATTTGATGTTTTTTTTTCAAGATTTACAAAAAAAGTATCTAAAAGTATCCGAGCTGTAATTTTAATTAAATAATTAGCATAGCTTTTTATTTTTTTTACGAACAGCCACAATTGTTGTTGGATGGATGGCCAGTGTCTGCAGACACTACTTCTGCCTGTCATGTAGCTTTATATTAAATCAAACCGATTATCCAACAGTAATCAATGGACATATAAATGCCGAACTTGTCTTCCCTCATTTACTTGTTTAATTGAAACCTGTTTTGTAAAATGCAAAAAATATCCTTGCACAACGTCAGATAAATAATCCATTTTGATTAATAATTCATCTGTTGAGTATAGATCTAGTTTATAAAGTTGTTGAAAAACAATGTAATTTTTGGAAGCACAGTTTTAATCTGTCACTTAGGCCGGAAATAGTACAGTAATACTATTTTTTTAATTACATCCAAGGTACCACCTCTCAATGAGTTACTGCTTGCCGCTCAACAGTTATTATTGTTAATCATTAACTAATTACTGTTGATTAGTTGTACATATTATGATCCTAGGGGTTTTGGAATATGATACTAGTTATTATTAATATTATTACATGAGGATACTATGATGACATATAGGAGATTATTTTGCCTATCTGTCCTTATCACACTGATTGCTGAAAATGCTTATAATTGCGTTCCAAATATGCTAAATACACACAATGAAACCATCACAAATTCTGTAGTAGTTGACGGATCGGGATGGGAACACGCAATGAAATGGCGGGAACTGCCCTACACGCACAAGTGATACGAACCTCATGGTAAATGCTGATCTCACACTGAAGCAATGAAATATTGTCGCGGTAAATGTGTTAATGACTGAATTTTCATGGCCCTCCAGAAATTTTGCAACCCCGGCACTGCATGTTCTACAATAGCGCCGCAATAATAAGAGTCTTATGCATGTAGAATCATTAGTTTTATTATTATTATTGGCAATTATACTAGGTTTTATTATTTTAAGTGAGACAATTTAGCATTTTCAGTGTGCAAATCTTGTTTTCTTATGTGGAATTTTTGTAATTTCAGGACAGTGAAATAGCACATATGTCAAGAAAAGAAGACGGATCAAGATAGCATTTACCAATTACCAACTAGCAAAATATTCTAAAAGAGGAATCACTGATGTTTCCTCAAATTAGGGGGAGACAAGCACATTTATATTTCATAATACGGTACTAAAAAGAAGCTTAAACTTGGATCCTATATTATACAGTTTTATATCATTCTTGTCAATTGATTGATTTGATTACCCAAATAGAATCTATGGAAATTGAAAAATATGTTATCTAACAAAAAACCACTAAGTGCTAACACTTTCCCCGCCAAGTCAGCAATCCAAAAAAGATAATAAATCATTACTTTTTCTGCCAAGAAAAACAATGTAATGTATGTAACTTTGGCAACTTGGCGGCAGACTTTTGCTTGGTTTTTTTTTTCATTAAAGTTACGTTCGTGGATAATTTAACAAATCAACTTCTCTACTTAATTAGTCCAACTAAGTATAATAATTTCGAGGTAATCAGTAAATATAAAACCATCGCTATTATGATTTTATGAAAAGTGTCACAAATAAGGTCAAATTTTGTAAAATAAGGTCTCACCTAGCAATGTACTAATGGGAGAGATACTTGCTCAATGAAACTAGTTTTATGGTATTTTTTAAAGTGATCGAGCAAAAGTCTGCCGCCAAGTTGCCAAACTTACATACATTACATTGTTTTTCTTGGCGGAAAAAGTAATGATTTATTATCTTTTTTGGATTGCTGACTTGGCGGGGAAAGTGTTACCACTTAGTGGTTTTTTGTTAGATTTTATTTATTTTTGTAGAAAATAAACAGTTAAAATAAAAATCCTCTTTTCTCTGATATATAGACCACGGCACAACTACATCGCATTTAATTTCAATAATATTGTTTGTGTAGAACTAAATTCTACATTTTTGGTCTTATCTGCTTTAAACCGATTAAAAACTTTTTGTCACACGTACCAAAATTACTATTTAACAAACCCCCTGGGCTTAAACTCAGTTTCAAATTTCATCAATGGTTATCTTGAACAACATAAAATGCGTTGGTGTTACATAAGTGTTTTGATAATTAAACTCGTATATCTAAAGACTAGTGTAATTTGAGCCCTTATTAGAGAAGTAAAAATGTAATCAAACAGATTAGGTTTGTTAGAAATAGCAACAGGCAAAACAAATACTGAAAAACTCATTTATCCTAAATTTACATATCACTTTTTAATTGCTTGTTTAACATACGTAGAGTGATTTTCCTGATTGTTTTATTTGTTTTAGTGTATCAAAACATAAAACAAACCTTAGTACTAGTACTAAGTTTCAAGTTCCTAGGTTTCATATGTTTTGATAAGTTATATTAAACTGTTTAAAATGACGAGCTGCTGTACCAGTGTACAATCGGTACATTGCATTTTTCAAAGGAAAGTATCGGGGAATATCACTGCTCCAAGTAATTTTATATAGTAAGTAGTTCAAATCATTCGGTATACCTGAAAAAAATACTTTATAAAAGTTTTAAAATAATTTTTCAGCTGTTCCTATGAATTTCTCTTACATTTAAACTAATTGAGATTTAATCGCAGCTGGTCCTTCTTTTGTTTTGATTTTAATCCCATGTTATTTAAATGGGCCAAAATCGTACTTTGAGGGCTTGCCAAGGGTTTATGGGTCAACACACCGACTTGAGACCCTCAAAAGGCACATCTACATGTTAAGGGCTTTCAAACAACATAAAAAACATTAAAAGTTGAGCCAGTGGTTTGGGCTGTAGGTCCGTCAACATTCAAGGAGAAGAAGAATACGGAAAATTTGTGAATTTTCAAACTAGTTTTTCTTGGCTCAAACAACCGTTTTTTTAATTCTTTTTTTTATTTTGTTGAGAATGAGTGCGCCTATCCAGTAGATGAATAATTATTTTAATAGCTTTTGTTTCTTCAGAGCTATAGACGAGAAAAAAAGCCACTTTGTCACGTCATGTATATATACACTGCAGCAGCTGTGTACCGCTTGGATACTTGGCTGGGCTTTGGGGCCTTAATTTACTTGATTCCTTCATGCATTCCAAGTACAATGAGGTAGGTAGGTTGGTCAAGATGAACAGTAGACTTTTGCAACTCTTTCCATGACTTGCAATGCCCCAAGGTTGACAAAATGTTGTGTTTATAAAAGCAAATATTTGAAGACTTTTTTGAAATTAAATTGATTATTAGCACTAAAATTACAATTTGTTCCAAAATTAAGATCACCCATTCTTTTGCAGGTAAAACCATTATTCATATTATCTAAAAGCCAAATATGCATACTGCAATTCAAGGCAAGCACAATGCAAGCATTCGATGTTGGGTTCAACCAAGGCCGCACTAGATATACAGGCCGTGCTGCTCCCCCACTATTTCAGGCGCTACGTCACAACTGAAGGCTTTCGCTACCCCGCTAGGTGGCGTGGTCCCACGTTTAAGATATCATTGTAAATATCGAAAAATAAAGAAGTGGTAGGTTTATTTCTTTGCATTGATTTAACAGGTGAATGGCTACACAAACTTATTTTACAAGTATTGGAATTGATGTCTAAAGTACATAGATTATAGAGTTTTTACAGTAGTATTATATCAGATGAAAACCGCATTAATAGGTCAATGTTTACAAGTTTGTGCAGGGTAAAATTACCATCCGGATTTGTACATCCTTTTGATTGAGCTCAGAATATTTTCTTACAGTTTGTTCTGTACACCTATTTAAATGTATACGTAAAAACTAGTTAAATCGAGCGACCGATTAAAAACAGCCTTTCCACTTACTAGATCTTAATAATCATGTTTAAATATGTACTGCAAGAATTTCTGATTTGTGAATCCTTCAAAATATGGTACAGCATAACGTAGTCAAACTAGCACTAGCGTTTAATAAAACAGTATAGTTCCTTACTTCACTGGAGAGACAACATGTAAATTTATGTGCTAGATTGTTCAATAAAAAGGTTTAGCCGCTCTAAAGAAATATCAATTTAGGCATTAGAATAAATATACTTTTGATGGTGACTAATAGTTTCTTAGAAATTGTAGGCGGGACCGCCTACAGTTGTGACGTCACACAAGTAGCAGCACAGCCTGTACGGTATATCCAGTGCGGCCTTGTTTCAACTAATACTAGTGGTCGTCCTGTGGTCGAAACTCGACCAAAAATAATTAATGTACAGACTTCTCTATTTCCTCCCCACACTGTAAATAAAACATGTGATTGGGATTTCTTCCATTTGTTTTGATTTTCTGTTTACATTTTGTTGTTATTTCGTCACCATCATGGCAACCCAGTTGGTCCATGTTAATTTTTTGAAGTTTTCAAATTCGTTTTTTGTGCTTATTTTTTAGCCTATTTCAATTTATAAAGGGATTCTGCACATCTACAGACAAATATCTTTCTAACAGTATGCGTAGATTTCCCCTGCGATGCACACGAGCTGAGAAAAAAGGTTTTAAAGAAACATGCTTGCCTATTAGTCCAGGATAAAGATGACAGGAAGGCATGTACCCTTAAACCAAATTCTGTGCAGTCAAAGTTAATATTTAATGTAAAATATTTTCAACTATAAAATGAACTTGCAAGCAGCTATACAAATTCTATAAATGAACCCCTTTAGACATTAAGTGGTAGTATATTCCTTCCCAGATTACACATTGGAACTGGTTAAACCGTTTATTGATGTGGCCAAGAGATGAGGACAGGCTGGAAGTGAAAGGTGTCGGGATGTCCTCGATGAGGGATGTGGTGGTTGAAGTCACTCTTGCTCCACTGGAAGGGAGGGAGGTGAGCCCCAGTGGTGGGACCACTGACAGCCAACATGCCTAGAGCCTTCGACAGCTGGTAACTGGTCACCTTGGCATCAATAGCGCCATGAGAGCGATGGCTGAGGGCCGGGAACGGGTATGACCCATTGATTGGGTTTAGGTCATTCCTAAAATAAAATACAAAGTGAATTAAAAGTACAAAATGATTGTTAAATAGGCATGCTTAGGTGTATAGTGCCTTTATCAGATTTCTTCAAAAGCTTTTAAGACATAAACTAGTTATTCTTTTGCCTAACAAAAGACTAGATATTGTAAAGATTGATTTGCTTTCAATGATATGACAGACCTCAGGCCTTTAATTGTAAGCTCATTTTGACACCCTAGGCCAAACTCAAGACATGCACCCCATCTCCTACAAAAGGGGGTAATTAGGTTGGTGTTTACGCAAATTAATTACCATGTAGGAGAAAAAATACCCTCGCCACAGCAAACCTGCAGACTAAGCGAATTTCCATTTGCCTGATTGGATTTATACCAAAATGTCTTCTTAAAAATATCACATTTATTCCCTAAATAGAATTAGTTTTAACAACTGGTACTTTGCTGCAACAGGGAGGGTAAAAAGGTGTTTTTTTTTTGTACAATTTTAATAGTCTAGTAAGAAATAAACGTATCTTCCAAATTTGATCAAAATATGTCCATAAACCACAAGCTGTAAACTAAATAAATATGTTAAACTAGCTGGCCCGACAGACGTCGTCGTCCTGTCCTAATGTGGTTTTATGTCAATGCTCGTTCATTTTCAAGATGAGCTCCTTCGCATGGCTCAATCACGTCCTGGTTGAAGTTCGTTCGTTACGCTCACTCACCTTTAGGTGAGAGCTCGTTCGCTGCGCTCACTTGCCTTCAAGTTAGCTCGTTCGCTACGCTAACTCGCCTCTAGGTTGAAGTTCGTTCGCTACACTCACTCACCTTTTGGTTGGAAATTAGCTGTTGTTATAAATATAAAAAAATAATAGTGCTGCACCCTGTTGGCAAACCTATTAACTTTTTAATGCTATTGAACATCTCAGAATCAAATTGTTAAGTTGAACCAGCTGTTAAGATTCTTTAATTCCATTTAAATATGACTTCTCATAAGGTTAATATGGGAAACTCCAGAGCCACTGGGGCGGAGCCCTTTTTGACGGATCTGCACCAAACTTCACACAAACCATCCTTGAATTATGCTTAATAATGCCTGAAAGTTTCATTACAATCTGTCGATCGGTTTCGGAGTCCATAAATGACAAACAAACAAACATACATACATTATGGATTTTATATATATAGATAAATACTAGCTGTAACCCGCGGGCTTTGCCCCGTTTAACTTCTTAATTTTCAAGATGATCTCATTCACATGGCTCAATCACGTCCTGGTGGAAGTTCGTTCGCTACGCTCACTCACCTTTAGGTTGTAACTCGTTCGCTACGCTAACTCGCCTCCAGGTTGAAGTTCGTTCGCTATGCTCACTCACCTTTTGGTTGCAAATTAGCTGTTGTCATAAATGTAAAAGAAATAATAGTGTTGCACCCTGTTGGTAATCCTTGTAACTTTAATGCTATTGAACATCATAGAACAGAACCAACTTGTTTAATTGAAACGGCTGTTAAGATTCATTAATTTCATTTCTCATAAGGTTAACATGGGAAACTCCAGAGCCACTGGGGCGGAGCCGATTGGACGGATCACGAAATTGATGGTGTATAAACCTATTCCATGAATTCTACACGTATGTACCAAGTTTCGTGGCAATCGGTTCAGCGGTGTCTGAGTTTATCACTGCAATAATAATTATATACAAACATCCTCTTTTATACTTATAGATGTTGTAAACTACAACAGTTTACTTATTCTTCATGAGAATAACAAGGGAATTTTAGATTTACTATATTTTGGAATTTTCTCCGTAAACATGTGGCGCATGGTAGGCCTAACGCTTCAATATACCAAATTATTTGTTTTTAAGCTCTACAAAATGGTTTGGAAAGAATTTGCCAAATTTATGTTTTTAGGGTCAAAAATTGGAAAAACAATTTATACCCCATAAATTGAAAATTAAAATTTAAACCCCCATTCCCATAGTCTGATCATGCTGGTTCGCAAACTTGTTCGAATAAATGTAGGTTTACACGTTTATACCAAATTTCATCAAAATCTTATCGTTTTAGCTCGAGTTATCGTGCTAACGGACACATTGTATGGTCGCCATTTCATAAAAAAGTATTTAAAGTACATATATAGGAATTTGAACGGATGGTGTTTTTGGCCTCTAGGGACCTCAAAACGAAAAAGTAAATTGGTCCCGGGTCCAGGTCTTATCACGAGTACTACGGTAATAGCTTATTCCCTATATGGGAAATTCGCTAAAATGGGATCTTTTTCATGAGGCCTTAGTATGATTAGTTTAAAGAGAAAAATGTGTCATCCTGCAATCCATGGGGGATTTGCTCGTTTAAGATTTGACAAGAGATATAGGGTAATCAATAAAAGCAGCAGGGGAAAATGATAGGCTGGCCAAAACTTCCAAGAGTTTTGCAGATCACTCGTTCTAAAGTTTGCCCATTTGCGCTTAAGTCTGGCTCTGTTTACAAGCCACGCTAATCTTTCTTAATTATTGTGACTCAACAAAATTGAAAATAAAATGGGATATGCAGTAGACTTCATTTATTCTCTCTAGTGATAAGTCAAATCTAAACCTCAAATCCACCAAATCTCAGGAATAAAATCAAATTTTAGATTCGTCATCTTGATTGTGAGAGATGATTCTCATACAAGGCGGTGTGAAGAAAAACACAGAACCCATACAGCCCTAACATTTAAATACCCCCGCTGCAGCAAACCTGCAGACTAAGCGAGTTTCCATTTTCCTGATTGGATTTACACTAAAATTTCTTATTAAAAATGTCATATTTATTTCCTACTTAAATAACACTAGTTTAACAAGTACTTAGGTTTGCAGAGAGGGTAAAAAAGTGTTTTTAGTCAAATGTTAAATAGTTTAGTTTGAAATAGATGCATTTTCCAAATTTGTTTAAAATATGTTCATAAACACAAACTACAATAAGTTTTCTTATTCTCCATAAGAATAACATGAAAATTTTAAATTTACAATTTTTTGGAATTTTCTCCGTAACTATTAGGCACATGACAACGCTTCAATATACTAAGTTGTTTGTTTTTTTAGCCCTACAAAATGGTTTCAAAATAAATTGCAAAATTTTATGTTTTTAGGGTCAAAATTGGGAAAAACCAATTTTTACCCCATAAAACCCCCCATTGACGGATGAAATAAAGAAAGATATGGACAGGATGGAAGTCATTGAAGATACAGCAAGAGACAGGGCAACGTGGAGGCAGTGTGTTGGTGAGGCCAAGTACTACTTGAGGTACCTATATGGCCATGGGAGTAAGAGTAAGTAGAGTAAAACCCCCCCAAACCCCCGTTCCCATGGTCCGATCATGCTGGTTCGCAAACTCGTTAGAATAAATGAAGGTTTACACGTTTGTACCAAATTTCATCGAAATTGAATCATTTTTGCTCGAGTTATGTATATATGAATTTGAACGGATGGTGTTTTTTGCCTCTAGGGATCTCAAAACTAAAAAGTAAATCGGTCCCGGGTCCAGGTCTTACCATGAGTAATAGCTTATTCCCTATATGGGAAATTCGCTAAAAGTAATAAAACAGCTCGGCTACAATTAACACGTTCAATGCGGCACCGAATTTGGCGATATTACTTGTATGGCTAAAGTATGAAAACTCAAATTAACTTCCCAAATGTTGTTTTGGATGATGATCTAATGTTATTTCGTCAAAATTTTCAATTTTTGACTAGATATATGACTTAATTATTTGTGACGGAAATACTCAACATGTGCCGCACCTGTCTGGCTGCCATGTAAAACCGACACACGTGACACCAAAAGTAATCCTTAGTTTGTGTTGTAAACGGTTGTTGACCTTAAGTTATCTCCTAAGTTAGTTCATCTTCAGTGAGAAAGTCATCAATCTGAGAAGAATTTGTCATAATCATTCACTACGGTATTGCACAACACTTACGTCAAATAACACACTGAAACACAAAAACATAAGTTACACACAAATTTTTAAGTTGTACATTTCAAAATCAGCTACATCGTTTTAAAATAATACTTATAGTCAACTCGATTTGCGAGATAACGCGAAGGAACGGAGTTCTGGTACCTCTCTTTTGGAAAGATAAAAATTCTGGCATAAATTGGTTTATAAATATGTATTAATCACATTAAATAGGTTACAGTTCCGCTAGACCTCACTTTTTACAAATGGAGGACTGCCAATAGTCAAAGATAAATAATACTTTAACATCTTAAAAATAAATCATATGACTAAGAGTGCAATAACCTGGCTGAAATAGTGTTTTCTGAGCTGTATGGAGGTGTGCAGTTGCAGCGAGATAATGGATCATGCTCGTAATCATTGGACCTCATCAGCAACATCATAGTATGAAGGTTGGTCACCTTCCCTTGGTCTCTTCTGAATATCTGGGCACGCGGAGACTTCTCATGAGTGAAACTGTTAACACAAATACACACATTGCCATGTTATAGTAGAGTTTCAGAACCATCTGGTGGTTTCTAATTGGCTATCTCTTAATCACGTCTGAACATTAGATGGATATTCTTACAGTCTTTGATTACCCTCCCTAGGTTGTCGAAGCCTATTTAAATTTTTTAGAAACTGTGTAGTGTTTAATCTTCTTTAAAGATCCTATGTTGTTCTAACTGATATTCTAAAATCTATGAATGAGGTGGTGATCACTATTGAGGAATTGATTTAAAACTGATCTTTAATCCTGAATACTATAGATAAATTTCATATATTACATTTTTTATCACAATTTAAAAGAAAACTGTGGGTCATTCTCTTTGTAAGGCCACTAAAAACACCATAGCACAAGTATCTACAAAACTTACTGATGCTGTGAAATCTTTTTTTTTTGTGTAGAAGTAAGTCTACTTACAAGTCACCATATTGCTTCACCAACTGCTGGTTGCCCATCAGCTCGAAGACGTCCGTGTAGTAAGGCACGTTGTAGCTGGCCCAGTAACCTTGGGATTTCAACACGTCCGTCTTGTCCTCTCTCCTGATATAACCTGGCATCTGCTCAGCTATCCACAGCAGATCTGGCTTAACAGATCTAGACCAAAAGTTTCCTAGATTAATCATACAAACCTCCTACCCCGCTCACACTGGCAGATTTGTTTGCAGACTGTATGTATAAATGACTCTAGAAGTCTGAGATCAGTCTTTAGACTATTTTTAGAAGCTTGTTTCTTGTTTCCGATAAAAGTGTACTACTTGTTTTGCGTTCACACCATAATAATTATGCTACTGCATAGTTATATGCAGTAATACTAATACTAGTACTAATAGTACTAATATATAATACTAATACTGCATAATTATTATACCAGTAGCTCACACAGTTGGTGCTTCTAGTGATGCTAAGAGAAGATGTACTTTTGGCTAGTGCATGCTATGTATTTCTTAATTGTCTACTCTACCAAGGAAGGGGAGGTGGCGGAAACGAAGATGCTAAAGGAAAATACATACTCTACAGCAGAAACAGGAACCTACTTTCAGACCTTATATTTGAAGACATGTTTTTGGAACTTCGCTCAATTAACCTACGTACAATTCATGAACAATTAATTCAGCAGTGTGACTTAGATATTAACCCCATCCGGACTGATCTGCTCAAAATGCTAGGGATGCATCTGCGGTGCTGGTTTTTATCCAGTCTTCAGCCTCAAAACAAATCCACTTCAGTATGAAATTTATCATAAGATTGCTTTCAAAAAGTATGCAAACATCCTGCATACAATTGAGAATTATTTAGAAAATGGTATTTGCATACAAAGTTTCTGGAAACAAATCTACTGGTGTGGAGGAGAATAAATGTAAAAAATTAAAACATGGCTGGTGTATCTTAAACTCAAAACTAATATCATGGAAAACAACCAGTGGCGGTTCTAAGATATTGTCAAGGAGGGGGCTACCGTGGGGTTTGGGGGGTGGGGAAACCGTTTAGAATTTTCAAAGCCGTTTTGAACACCCAAAACTGTGCCCAATTTTCCATAAACTTTTATTTCACCTGTTATTTGTCATGATCAAGTAGACATTTTAAAAACTAAACTATGACGATTGCATTCATGAATTTCAAAACACACTGTAGACTACGGCCATATCCTCCTAAAAGCAGTTTGGTGACTTTCTAAAGCCATTTTTAACGTCTAGAACTGTGTGCAAAGCCTCCCATTCCCCCATTTATTTGTCATGAACAAGTAGACATTTTTAAAACTAACCATGGCGATTGCATTCATAAATCTGAAATCATATTGTAGGCTACAGCCATATCCTCCTAAAAATGTTTACTGACTTCCCAAAGCCATTATTAATGTCTATATCTGTGTCTAACTGTCCAAAAACCTCCCATTTCACCTGTTATTTGTAATGAGCAAGTAGACATTTTAAAAATTAAACTATGACGAACTTGCATTCATGAATTTCAAAAAATAGGCCTACTGTAGACTATGAAGCCATTATTGAAGCAATTTCAATAAGCCTGTTTAGAATGTCATATTAGTTATAAAACATATGACATTATTTACTAAGTGTAATTGTTCAGTTTGTATTGGAGTGTGTTCTGTTCTGTCTATTAAAAGTTAAATTTAATTTCCAAACAAGTCTTAAAGTTTCCTACTAATAACAGGTTATGGGCTACTAAATTGAGGATAAGGTTGACTTGGAATGGCAATGGGAACTCCAATTTTGGTATTGAAACCTTTTGATGGACACAATTTTGGTAATTGGCTGTTCAGATTAGAGTTGGTATTGGAACAGTATAAAGTCCTAGATGTCTTGACTCAAGAAATCCCTGAAGAAGAAGGACCAAGGTCTGCCTTCATGGAAAAAGATGTCAAAGCAAGAGGTCTGATAGTACAGCATATCACGGATGATATCATGTCGACCATCAAGGGCCAGAGGACAGCAAAAGGGATGATGAATCTCCTCAAGAGGACGTATGGAACAACTGGCATTGGAGAGCAAGTAAGAATAAAAAAGGAACTGAGTAACCTGAAGTATCGTGGTGAGTTACCTCTTTTGTCATTTTTTACAAAATTTGAGATGTTGGTGAATGACCTGAAATCTGCAGGTGGTAGTATGGGATAGCAAAGAGATCATTACCACTCTTTTGTCGTCCATGCCTGCACAGTACCAATCGGTCACTCGTACTGTTGATATTCTCTTTCATCAGAATCCTGAATCCATAACAACATTAGAGTTTTTGAAAAATCAACTGCTGCCTGAAGAAACTCGTATTAAGGGCGAGTGTAAAACTGAAACTCTTGATTCTTCTGCCTTTGCTGGTCACAGAAAATCAAACTTCTCTAACACAAAGTCAAATTTCCGGAATAAAGACAGTAAAAGTCGTTACTTTAAAGATCAAAATCAAACATTTAAATTTTGTTGTTATGAATGTAATGAGAAGGGTCATCGTAAAGCAGACTGTCCTAAACTGAAACATAAAGTAAAGTCTCATGTAGCAAACGATGACACTTGTTTTTTATCTGAAGGTAAGGAAGCTCTCATTGGCACTAATGATATTGTAGATTTTGTGGTAGATTCTGGTTCTACACATCATCTGGTTGATTCTATCACTGGAGCATTTCTTGAAAATGTAAAAGATGTTGATTTTAATATTCAAGTGGCCAAGCATGGTCAACAGCTAAAGGCTATTAGATGTAGTGATTTAAGGTTACTACTACCAAGCGGAAAAAGTGTCACAATCGAAAATGTCATTGAATGTCCGAACCTTACAAGAAATTTATTATCTGTGCGTAGAATTGAGCAAAAGGGACATTCTGTAATATTTTCAGAAAATAAGGTTTCCATTGAAAAACCTCTTGGGAATGTACTTCTGAAAGGTCAGATACGGTATATGGTAACTTATACATGGTTAAACTAGGTTTACCCTTCAACTCTGAAGCTAATGTTGTTTAAGGTAGTGACAATCAACTTTTATTACATAGACGGATGGGGCATTCATCAACATTTCCATGTAAACAACCTTGTGATACTTGTTTAAAGGGTAAGCAAACAAGAAACAGTTTTTCTTCTTTACCAATTGAAAGGAAACCAAAGAGAATTCTTGAGGTCGTTTCTAGTGACGTTTGTGGTCCGTTTGAAACTAAGACATATGATGATATGAAGTACTTTGTCTCTTTTCTAGACCATTATTCACATTTTACTTATGTTTATTTAATGAGAACCAAGAATGAAGTATTAGAACATTTTAAATCATTTGAAGCCTCTGTTTCTGCACGTTTTGGAAGTAAAATTGACCGCCTTCGGTGTGATAACGGTGGGGAATATGCATCTAAAGAATTTCAAAAATTTTGTCGTGAAAAGGGTATAACCTTAGAGTATACTGTACCACGGAATCCCCAACAGAATGGATGCAGTGAACGGCTTAATAGGACTATTTGTGAGTGTTTGCGTTGCATTTTAATTGACTCGAAAATGCCACAACACTTCTGGGGTGATGCTTTGCGATCAGCTGTGTATTTAATAAATCGCAGACCTACTGCGGGTGAGGTTCATAAGGTCCAAATTTCACAAAGTCCAATGGTTAAAATATTAATAAACAGAGCGTTTCACAAGGTCCAAATTTCACAAGGTCCAACGTTTAAAATATTAATAACAGAACGTTTCACAAGGTCCAAATTTCACAAAGTCCAACGTTAAAATATCAAATGAACAGAGTGTTTCACAAGGTCCAAATTTCATAAGGTCCAAAACTATGACATTCAAATAATCACCGTTTCACAATGTCCAAATTTCACAAAGTCCAATGTTAAAATATCAAATAAACAGAGCGTTTCACAAGGTCCAAATTTCACAAGGTCCAACGGTACAGTCTCGGCCAGAAGTTGCTGCAGAGGTTGACGTGGTTCGGTGTTTAGGTAAAGAGTGTAAAATAGTGGTATTTATCCCCTCCGCAGCAAACCTGCAGACTCATCGAATTTCCATTTCCCTTATTTTGATTTACACCAGAATATCTCCTTAAAATGATCACATTTATTCCCGATTTAAATAGCATTAGTTTAACAGGTACCGTACTTAGGTTTGCTGCAACAGGGAGTAATCACTAGTTGAGTGCCGACGGACGGTGCCTGCTATCTGACCGTGGCAACCACTGTAGAGACTTCTGGCCCAGACTGTACCGTTGGACCTTGTGAAACGCTCTGTTTATTTGATATTTTAACGTTGGACTTTGTGAAATTTGGACATTATGAAACGTCGATTATTTGAATGTTATAGTTTTGGACTTTATGAAATTTGGACCTTGTGAAATGCTCTGTTTATTTGATTTTTTAACATTGGACTTTGTGAAATTTGGACATTGTGAAACGGTGATTATTTGAATGTTATAGTTTTGGACTTTATGAAATTTGGACCTTGTGAAACGCTCTGTTTATTTAATGTTTTAACCGTTGGACTTTGTGAAATTTGGACTTTATGAAACGCTCCCCCTACTGCAACTCTAGACAAAAATGTTACACCTGCTGAAATATGGTATGGATATAAACCTGATCTGGCAAAAATCAAACTCTTTGGTTGTGTAGCGTATTGTCATGTCGATAAGGAACTTCGGAAGAAACTGGATGACCGCAGTTCAAAAATGATCATGGTTGGTTATGCAAACAATGGTTATCGTTTATGGGACCCTGTGAAAGAAAAAGTCATCATAGCTAAACATGTCAAGTTCTTTGAAAATGAGCTGTACTATGATGTGAAAGACAAACAAGACATTCTACAGTTTGAATGTTCAATCTACATACCTGATGTATACTCAAATGACAGTGATAGAGAAGTTGAAGGTAATGTTAATCAACTGCATGAAAATCCTGAAATTGAACAAGGTGGAATCTTTCAAGAACCAGATGTCAATGACTATCACCTCAATGAAACACAGGATAATTTGAGAAAGTCGACAAGGCAAAAGAAACTACCTACATGGCTGGATGACTATGAGGTAAATTATGTAGCTGCTTATTCTGTGGATGAACTTTTGAACGATGGACCAAAGAACTATGAGGAGGCAATTCAAGATGAAGGATGGCGTAGTGCAGTGAATGAAGAATTAAACTGTCTACACAGAAACGAAACTTGGGATTTGGTTGAAACTCCTCAAGACGCTAAAATAATTGACTCTCAGTAGATTTTTCGGGAAAAATCTGTTAACGGCAACCTAGTTAAGAAAGCACGGCTTGTTGCTCACGGATTTCTTCAGGGGGAGATGTCATGTGAAGAAATATTCGCTCCGGTAGCACGCATGATAACGATAAGAACTTTACTTTCATTTTTGGTTGTGCATAGTTTGTTTTTTTGTCAACTAGATGTAAAGTGTGCATTTCTTAATGGAAATCTAACCAACCCTGTGTATATGAAACCGCCTAAAGGGGTAAATACTGAGGATGGTATCGTTTGCAAGCTTAAAAGATCACTATATGGATTGAAAGAACCGCCAAAATGTTGGTATACTCGTCTTCATGAGTTTTTGATCAGTATTGACTTTAAGAGATCGTCTTCTGATCCATGTTTCTATTATACTCAAGATGTTTTTATCGTTATATATGTTGACGATATGATTATTCTGGCCAAAGAAAAGAATATTTTGTTGGAAGTTAAAGCCAAATTAATATCTTCATTTGAAATGAGAGATCTTACTGATGATAAACATCTGGAGTTCCTTGGTATTTCTATAGAAAAGTGTGAAGAAGGACTTAAACTAAAACAAATTAGGTTAATTGAAAAAATTATACAAAAGTTCAGAATGGAAGAAGCTAAGCCAGTTTCGGAGTGTGTGTTCATAACAAGATTATTATCAGAAATACTACTTAAGGTTCAAATAACTGCGGTTGTTATTTGGCAAGATAACCAATCTTGCATAAAAATGGCTAAGACACTTGAAACTAAGAGATCCAAACATATTGATGTGCGATTCCATTATATAAAGGAGCTAATAGAAAATGGTGTAGTGGAACTTAAGTATGTACAAGTTGCAGATATTTTTACCAAAGGGTTGCCTATATTTAAATTCAACAAATTCAGGAAGGATATGGGACTTAAATGAAACTTGACATTTTTAATATTTGTGCCTGAAGATTATGAAATTGCGGGGGAGTATTGAAGCAATTTCAATAAGCCGGTTTAGAATGTCATATTAATTATAAAACATATGACATTATTTACTAAATGTAATTGTTCAGTTTGTATTGTTGTGTGTTCTGTTCTGTCTATTAAAAGTTAAATTTAATTTCCAAACAAGTCTTAAAGTTTCCTACTAATAACAGCCATATCTCCTAAAAGCTGTTTTGTGACTTTATAAAGCCATTTTTAACGTCTAGAACTGTGTCCAATTATCTAAAAACCTCCCATTTCACCTGTTATATGTCATGCAAGCAAGTAGACACCTTTTTTAACCTTACGTTTTTCTCCATTTCATAGATCTATCACAATATTTATAGTATCAAATTCAGTAATAGCATTGACTATATAAACTAAAACAATAGTGTTTATATAGTCAGTGAGGCTATTGGTGCTACTGCTGATGGCTGATGCCTGTGTAAGTTTTATATTATGTGCTCGTTGGTGTAAGTCAGTAGCTAGCAGACAATAATTTGACAAGGTAGGAACATGAAATCAGCTGTTGCCCCGTCCTCGCTGTCGCACTCGCTCGTGTCACCTGACAACTGTAAAAATTGGATGATATGTACAACTTTCCATAGTGTAATATTGTTTATTTGTCGTGCTATTGCCCCACAAAGTTGATCTATGTGGAACTTAATACTATACTCCTGCCATTGCTTATTTAGTTTAATAAAAACTATATTGATGTCTGTTTTATAACATTATTGCGTGTTTTAAGGACGAAATGTATTTTTAAATTTATTTTTCCAGGGTCCAAGGGGGGGCTGTAGCCCCTGTAGCCCCCCCCCCCCTCTGGGAACCGCCACTGAAAACAACACCAGTAGAGTCTACATTTGACGAAATTTATTACTGAGTTACTAAAGTTTAAAACAAAAAAATTACTACAATTTCAAAATTACTCTGTCTATTGAACGAAAAACTATGTTAATCAAAACTTCTTCAAACCAACCCAGGTGTGAACTTCTTCATGTCTACAATCATCCATTGGTTGTTGTAAGTTCCACTGTTGTACTGGGAGTACATCTTGGACCAGCTTTGACCTCCGTCTGTGAGTCTGTTGGCTACAGCTACTCGTACCACTTCTAGAACCTGAATACAGTACCAATCAAACTGTCAGAACCAGTTTCTAAACTGTGCCAAAGTTATGTGGCTTAGCCATGGCAGTTTTGATCTAAGACACACTTTGAATAAATTATATTCATAGTATTTTACATAAATATTTATTGCAATGTTTCTAAAAGCTTTAGAAAAGTATTTCATGAAAACCTACCTGTCCAATAGGTTTTAAAAGAGACCACAGTGAAGCGTTGTTATTGTCATTGGTGGTTTCTTGAATCACAAGTCCCGCGCTTGTGATATAAAAATCATCGCCTGACACCAAAATACCAGGATAACCAGAGAAGCTGACAGAAGTAGCGACAACTTGCTTGTAGTGCAGTGTGTACCGCTTGATTATGCGCCTCATGTTCTCATAACTAAAACATTAACACAGATTGTAATTACTTGAGCTTGCTTCTGCTACTCAAATGGATTGACTGGTGTAGCCTACGAATTCCCAACCACCATTGCCCATCAAGCAAATCGTTTGGTAGCATAGAATCTTGACTGAAAAGCGGTTTCCTTGTAAAAACTATGTTTTTACACAGCGGCTAACAAAAGATTGTTACACGAATCACATGTTGACGATGTTGTTAGCGTACTTTTCTAGCTATTATTGTAGGTCTCATCTAGGTAAGACCTAGACCCGGGACCAATTTACTTTTTCAAATTATATATAGTTTTGCATGTGTGTGTGTGTGTCCGTGAACATGATAACTCTAGTAATTTTAGTCAATTTTTTTTTTATATTTAGCGTGAATGTGTAGGGTAGCATTAACTTGAATGAGTTCACGAACCTGAAAGATCATGTAATAGAAACAGAGTGTTATAGAGTTTTGAATTTTTCAAAATTTGGTTCCATCATATTTTTACCCTTAAAACATAGAAAATATCCAATTTTCATTACAGCCAACCAAAGTTTTCGTGTAGAGCTAAAAAAAAGTGTACTGAAGCATTATTGTACGATTGAAGGTTACAGAGCAATAAAAAAAAAAAACTGTGTGTTTAAAATTACCATTGTTATCCTTAAAGGAGAAAAACAAAACTGTTGTTGTTTGCTTGATAATGGATATATTTTGTACAAATTTTGAAAATTTGTTTATTTCATCCTGTAGGTACTATTATCATTTGATCAAAAAACATGTTTTACCTTCCCCATAGCAGCAAACAAGTACTCATTAAATCTAATGATATTTTAATGGGGAATAAATCCTAAACTTTTAAGGGAAATCTTTAATACTTAATAGGTAGGCTACTTTAATACTTTTCGATGAAATGGCGACCATACAAAGTAGGTATTTTAAGCCAAGTAAAGAATTCTTTAAGTAAAGAAGACAATGACTTAAATAAATGGTATCAGCAATCTGACACATACACATACTTCCTCCCATTAGATTATCAACAACCTTTATCATGGGCAAGAAGGGGGAGTAACTATGATATTTTATGGGGAAAACGAGAAAAGTTGAAATTACTTTTGAAATGTACCTAATTTTTACAGCAATGGGGATTGTACCATCTTGTTTAGAATCATAAGGACCATAAAATACTAGATTTTAATGAAATTAGCCTAGCCTTAAGCTTTTTTTCAGAAATCTAATGTTTTGTTATTTTATGGGGTTTTGTATTGGGAAAATCAAGTTGCAATAACTTTTGATCCGTAATTTTTACAGCGATGGGGGTTCAGAGTCAAAAGGAGTATAACGTAGTAAATTGTAGGTAATCAAAATTATTTGGGCCAATTTTGAGAAAATTATATTTTCTATTTCTATTTTTTTTAAACGACTTCAAATTTGTAGCTGAAGAAAGTGTAAGAAACTCACGTTCTGCTTCAGTAACTTTGCGTATGCCTCATCATAGAACGGCAGTTTATGACAGAGCGTTTGTTGTTTCTGCTTGTCGCCTTTGGAATGATCTCCCTCTAGCCATAAAAACCCTTGATAGCCGTCCCCGGTTTGTGACAGCACTAAAAAATCTGTTTTCTGAACGTATGGCCATGGTTGGTATGTCCTAGGTGTGCGCTTGGTTGATCACTGACAGGTGTGCGTGTGTGTGTGCTAGTTCTTGCGAGTGTGTGTTGTGTGTGTGCGTGTACAAGTGTAGGTGTGTGTGTGTGTGTGGGTGTTTATGTAAGGTGGTATGTTTTAAAAGTGTATTGTTTCTTTTTACATTAAATATTGTAAATAGATTATAGTATTTTATTTGTATTGTACATTGTTTTGTTTATTTGTATGTTTAGATTTGTATAAACAGGTTAAGTGTAAGAGAGGGCCATGTGGCCCTAACTTTGCCTGACTAAATAAATCATTTTCATTTCATTTTTCATTTCATTTACAGTATGAATGAAAAAATTTAATTGATCCTTACCCTGTCCAAGTGTTATGAGCCACAAAAATATCCGACATATCTGGCAGTAACTTAACAAGTGCTGAACAATGACCATTTCCTTGAAGAACTTTGTTTGTCTCATTTGTAAATGCAGACATCAAATCTCCAAAATCCCAGTTGAAATTCATCCACCTAAATCAAAATACAAATTAGCACTTTTTTCAACAGGTTGGCAGCATCTTTAAGATTTTTTCTTGTCCATATAGGACCAAGACTGGTGTAAACAATTCAGGTCCAATAAAAAAATATTCATTATTATTATTATTAGGTATACTTTATTTTTACTGTACTTCATTATCTTTAGCAAATTTCCCATATAGGGAATAAGCTATTTCCGTAGTACTCATCGTCAGACCTAGACTCGGGATCAATTTATTTTTTTGTTTTGTGGTCCCTAGAGGCAAAAAACACCATCTGTTCAAATTCATATTTGTATTATAAGTATATTAAACACATTTGTGCTTTATTTACTACTATAATTAAAATATAAGCAGCCCTATTACGTGAACATTACATTAAAATAAAATATGTATATGTCCGTTGGCACGATAACTCGGGCAAAAATGATCCGATTTTAATGAAATTTGGTACAAGCGTGTAAACCTACATTTATTCGAACAAGTTCGCGAACCAGCATGATCGGACTATGGGAACGGGGGTTTATGGCGGGTTTTATGGGGTAACAATTGGTTTTTCCCATTTTTTGCCCTAAAACATAAAATTTTACAATTTACTTCCAAACTATTTTGTAGAGCTAAAATAAAACAAATAATTTAGTATATTGAAACGTTATTATGTGCCTAATGGTTACAGAGAAAATTCCAAAAAAATTTTAATTTAAAATTGTCATGTTATTCTTATTTATGGAGAATAAGTAAACTGTTGTAATTTGCTTGTTTATAAACATATTTTGATCAATTTTGGAAAATGTACCTATTTAACTCATACAAAACTATTAACATTTCACACACAAAAAACACTTTTTTATCCTCCCTGTTGCATCAGACCTAAGTACTTGTTAAACCAATGCTATTTAAATAGGGAATAGATGTGATATTTTAGAGTAAATCCAATCAGTCAAATGGAAATTTGTTTAGTCTGCAGGTTTGCTGCGGCGGGAGTATTTTTTAAAAATGTTTATTATCATTTATCTACAATGAAAACAGGAACATATTTAAGGTAGGTAATGGAACTGAATACTACCCCTGCCATCGCTTATTAAGTTTAATAAAACTACATTGGTGGTGTCTGTTTTATGACATTGCGTGTTTTTAGGACGAAATGTACGTTTAAATTTAATCATGTTTTATTTAATGAAATTGGTAACACCCAAACACAGCTGATTAACAAGAAAGCAGTTATGATTCAATACAATAACAAATCAGAAATCATGAGTTTTGGAGAAACAAGCGGTTTTGTAAAACAGTGTCCCTAACAGTTTCATTCATGGGTGGCAGACCGGTACCGGTATTGATATTTATCTTCTGCAAATAAATGAAATATATGATCATATCCATAGAATAGTTGTATTCTTTAACTTATATCAACTATTAAAAAAGGTTAAAATTTATTTAGCTTTACAATGATCGAGTAGCAAAGACTTAAAGAGTTGCTGGACTGAGGAGGTTGGTGCGACATAAAACCAACCTCGTCGTGCTATTAATCACTATACTACAAACAAACTACAAACTTAATTGTAAATTGCTCGATCACGTATGTTAAAAATCATCTCTTCAACTAAAACTTTGTCGTTTATAAAGTTTTCTTCTGGTCCAAAAATAACACATATACATACTAACTTTTTCATGTCACAATGTAGAAATTGTTGACTCTTTTTAACTATAGAAATTCTATTTCAAGTCAAAAGTAAAATTTATTTATACCATTACATTCTGCATTTAATGCAGATTATGAATATATAAACATTATTTAACTTAATCTGTGTTATTGAAGGCTAGGAGCGAGTTAACAACTTCGCACACTATTCTATGAATTGACTAAAATCCGCTGGTTCCCACGTGATGGGGGAAGGCTGCCACAACGGTGTGCTTTCTTGAAAAATGCCGCGCGTGTACTGGAGGGTTAATAATTGCTTTATTGAAACATTTTACTGAACAACACTTGTTGGCAATTTGATGAGCTTTAACTTTGTTACAGGTGGTCACTTCGCTACGGAGCATACTGTCCGCGAGAGTAAAGAAGTCCCCTGAGCTCCGGCCTATTCGTAGTTTGAAGACGTTACGCTTGAACGTTTCGCACGACAATTACTGTAGAGCCGTTTTCACGATGCTCTGCTAGTTTAATTTAATATCTGTATGATTTTCATAAATCCATGTCATAATATTTTTTTGCATAGTCATACAATTGAAGGAAACCCATTTTCTAGTGTTACTAAGGCAAATTAATAACCTTTCTACTTTATGATTTTTGTTTAGTTAAATGTAACAATACCAATAAAATACAATACAATAAAATCCTTTTTAAATCCGAGTTTGAAAGCATTAATCCCAAATAATTAGTTGATCCATGAATCAGAGTACTACAATTCATAGCAACGCGTTATCATTACAACACAATTATGGTGAATTCATATTACCGGTACATTATTATTATAATAAGTACACGAGTACAGCAGTTTCAATAGCATTCATCGCAATAAACAACTTATTATTAAAGTTATTAATCCTATTACCATAAACCTAAGCAAAAAATCAAGAAAACAAGCAAAATCCCTTCGTTTGACCCAATGTCTACGACAAATCACGCGGTTTGACGCGTTCATATCAGGTAACACGCCATTGACGTCTTTGCCAAATTTACTGGAATGTTAAATTACTGTCTATCCAAGTTTCGTCCAGATAGAAAAGTTTCCTTTTTTGTTCCCTTAGCTTTCTTATCTCTCGAAAATACTTAAACCTCCAATTAATGATGTTAGGCCTTTCAATCAAACATTTTTTTATGGACCAAATTTCTTCCACTTGAACCCCATATCTTTTAAGAGACGCCGAAGTGCCCATTCGCTCCATTTAAAATTAATTCTTTCTCTCAAAACAGGTAATTGTTTTTTTTTTACATGTAGGAAATTTTTTTGTTCTTGTAAAAATCGTGTATTACATCTACAATTACACGCCTATCAAAGCTATCTATTTGTACTTTATGGTGGTCAGCCTTCTTGCGTTTTTTCCCGGGTGTACAGAGTTTTTCATCCGGAGTTTGTTTGCCGGCTTTTCTAATTCGTTTAATAGTTTTTTTCTGGCACTTTACAATAGTTTGCGGCACGTTCTGTTGCCTTTTCTATCGGCACTAACAAATTTTTGTCTTTACATTCGTTGTCACAACACTCGATCACCCGTCTAATTAAATCCCTTTCTCCACTATGTATAGTAGCACCAAGTTTTCTTAAATCCATAGCTACAAGGACTGTCCAAAACAAAACAGAAGTCACTACGCGAACACACGAGACTGTAATGAATCAAATGACGTGACCACATGATGATAATCCACTTACCAAAACAAAGATATGAGTAATTATGTTTACAACAGTTGTTTACAGACAGACATCGAGGCGAGGCGCCCAGATGCTTAGCGCCTGCAAATAGTGCGCGATACCCTCCAAACATAGCTGCGTACTATCGCTCTGGCTCAAGGGACTTCTTTACTCTCGCGGACAGTAGTTCTGAGATTTCAGCGAAAAACCAAAAACATTGTCCTTTTAATGTACTCTCTCCCCCTTGGCTTAAAAGGCTACTTGCTTGCGGGGACTTTTGTTATTTTTATCTCCTAACTAGTCCAAACAAAGTCAAAAAGTCAAAAATTGTGTTTGAAACATTTCTCTTTACACCTACTTTTTGTTGCCTGGGCTCTGTTGCAAACAAAGAAATGTATTTTTTCCTTTATCCGTTTCAAAAGAGAGCTTTTCTTTTTCCTAATACTTTGCCATTTTACTTAAATTTGGAGAGGGGTTCCCAGGAGGGGGGCATGGTGCAATCTGCGCCATCAAGGTTTTTTTTTGGGGGAGCATGATTTTTTGGGCGGGATTTTGGTTTTATAAGGGATTTTATACCTACCAGCAAAAATTTACAGGGAAATTACAAACATAAAATACTAGAATCATATGCAACAGTAAAAAGCACTGTTTATCTATTTAACCATTAAATCAGGATTATCAACGTTATATATTTAAGTTTGCCGTTTAGACTAACACCGGAATATTCCCGTCAATCAGTACATTTTTTGCCCTGGTTAAGGACGGTTGGTAGACTTAATTTGTAGTGTGAATAAAAACCACTATTGCTTAAACTAAGCTGATTTTAAGCATATTCTTAGTTCTAGGTGAATAATAATAGTGAGAATATACTACCCCTATCAAATTCTAAGATCACACCAAATAACTAGAATATTGTAACCTTTGTAGGTGAATAAACGCTATTACTAACCAGGGTTAGTATGTTAAAGATGTTTAAGCCAGGGGCAGGGGGCTAGCATGCTTGTGACGGAGGCCAAAGTAAGGTTATACAGTCATCATGGCCATTTTTATGCATGTACAGAACAGAAAAACGTATTGTGATAGACGGGGGTTTGGATGTAGTAAGTGCAAGCAACTTATGCACTCTACTAACTAGGGAAAACATGGATTTTTAACAAGTGAATTTTTAGAGCTGCTGTAGCAGTACTAAACGATGAAGTACCGCAAGTGATAGGTCTTTGGTTTCTTCTGTTTCATATTTGTTTATAGTTTCTTTCGTGTACATTTTTCTTTAATCTATCGTTTTTGGATCCACCCCCACTTATTTTACTTTAAAACTAATTTCTACGTAGATGTTCAGATGTGCAAACTGGTTTAAGATTTTTTATTTAAGCTATTAAACTCCAGCAAAAATAAATTTGCAAATTATTTTTTGTCTTACTGCAGCAACACAAGCCATTTTTAATGCATGTGTTGCGGGTCTAAAGTGGCTCTTTTACTCCCTATGGAGTAAAAAGCCGTTTTAGTCCCTAGGGAGTTAAAAATGCTATCGTTTTGAGAGGTTATCTTTACATGAAAAATACTGTTGTTTTGTAACTTAGTTTGCTTAAATAATGATGCAATATGACAAAAATATATTTAATCAGACTGGCAAAAGGTGTCAACGATTAGAGTCATCTTACACCCTAGAGATGAAAAATGCTATTTTTCATTTCAAGTAAAAAATGCCCAGCCGCATCCAGTGAACCAAACGGAGCTATTTTTTCCATTATCAAAAGATTGATAGGGACCCATCAGGCAGGGTATATTTTAACCAAAATCACACAATAATCCATCCAAAAATGAGCAAGCAATTTTAGAAAAGAATAAGTGTGAAATTTCTTTTGTTTTAAAATATAGGAATCAGTTTACCTATTGTGTTTTCTTTTTAATTTCAATAGAATATGTTGCCCTTTAGAGACGGGATGAATAAAAAAAAGGAAAATGTTAATGCAAAAATGTTCAAAGGTCCGACCGGAGGAACAAAGAATTGTATTTAAAAATGTTGATCAACAGGGAAAGGTTTGTGAATTTTAGGCTACATACATTCATTACCTGAGAAATTGTAACTTTTTAATAATCACCAATAAAATTCACTACAAATTGCCGTTTGTTCTCTCTTCAAAGTAGTTGTCTCACAAAAATCGCGTTTGCAGGTGATAACTACGACGTTTCTGTGATCCATGAGAAATAATCACAAAGTTGCCGTGACCGAGGGAGATAACCACGACGTGATCGCCGGATACGACCAAGAAGTTGCCGTATTTGCAGGATATGACCACGACAATGTTTGACGTGCACAGATTTTTTGGGTGCTATCTAGAAAAGAGAAATTTGCTAATATTCTGTTGAACTTAGGAAAATGACATACACTGTAATCCAGTAGCTACAACAATAATTCTGCATCCGTGCAATTTCACTGTTCGTGAAATAGATCATTGGTTGGAGTCAAGTGTGTAGTCTACAAAACCTTGCAGGTGTGCAATTTTACTGACACATGTTGCCTACAAAACTACGCTAGGTGTGCGATTTTACTGACATATACTGACTAGTGTTATAAATGAAAGGTTGGAGTGCAGATGTCATGCTTTGGGGGGGGGGCATGCGCCATTGCCCTTGGGGGGATTTGGATATCAATATTTTGGACATGTCCTGGAGTATTATTAGTCAATACTTACATGATGTTGTTGAGGTCTAGTTTCTTATCAGCTCTAGCCACACTGTTGTATCCCAGCATCAGCCCAGCCATTTGTTGATAGAACAAATTTATCTGGAAATGATTTGATTGATGATTTGATGATTATGATGATGGTGAATAGCCTACCTACTTTATGCAATAGCATGACTAATATAGGTCAGACATGGACGATATCCTTAGACGTAAAGTATATACCTCTTGCGACTAATATGTATCCATTGTACCCAGATCCTCTAACAGCCTTCAGTGTGGTTATTTTACATTTTTAGTAATCTCATTTTAAATGAAAAGGTATTTATTGTGCTGAAATAATCCTTAAAACAATTCATTACTCTACTGCCACAGTACCCTATAATCTTTTGCTTAAGCTGCATCTTTACGTTGTTTGTGAATTGTAGGCTATATACATTCATTACCTGAGAAATGTAACTTTACAAAAGAAAGCTTGCTTGATGTACGTTTTACGTGTGGTCTGCTAACGTTGTATTGACGTTGCAGTTTTGATAGCTGCACGTAGCGTTGAGCTGGCTCAGCTAAAGCTGAACAGAGTTATGCGTACCATAACGTTATAGTTGTATAAGTACAACTTCATAAGAAAATTTTTAGTTGACTTTTTAAAATATCTATTGACTGATGAGGGATGTGGCGTGGATTTATGACTCACTGCATTTGGACTTTCAAAGTACCCAAAAACTTAACCATTTTGATAAAAAAGGGAGTCTGCTTCATATTACTTTCATACACACTTTAAGTTGAGAGAGCGAGCTGGTCTAGTGTAGGGATGAGCTTCGATAGGAAAACATGGATCTTCACCATCGATGTACCGATAACATCGTCATGAAAACATCGATGTTTTTAAGGCAAACACATTGATAATCGATGGTTTTTTTAATTTTCATTTTTTGTCTGATGCTTCTCTCTGCCTCAGCTAATTAACCTAGCTATTAGATAGACGTTCTAGATTGGTAGTTTATTTCACATTTGTAAGACGAATTACCGGTCTTAATTGATTATGCTGAAGCAGGAGTGCTACTGCAGAAATTTATTACTTAAATTAAATTATTTCTGGCGGCATTAAGAACAAGCACATTCTCTTGTTCTGGAGTCTAGTCCAGAATGCGATTTTGGATTAGATACTTCTTCAGCCTTTCAATAGCATGAATACACAAATCTACTTTCTAAGACCAAAATTCAAATTTTCCTTAAGAAATAAATACATTTAGCTACGGAAAAACTTTGATATTTCGATAATTAGCCAAAATTATTGATGTAACAAAATCATCGGTATCCTACCATCAATGCAAGAAACATTGAACTTTGATAGAAAAAATAGATGTTTCGAAAAAATCCACTATCGATGCTCATCACTAGTCTAGTTGGTAAAGCACAGGCTTCGGTCTCCGAGGTCTCAGGTTCAAATCCTGCCAATCACCAACGAATTTTATCTATGAGATAACGCTGCAACCCTAATGAAGTATGTGTAAAACTTTTACACCAGGCTAGAGCTAAGCACACACCTTAGGAGGTGTTGTTTGTTTTTTTTTTTAATGTCAATTTGGTGGTTAGGGAATCCAAGCAGAACAGCTCACAATGGTAATCGAACTGACTTGCTGACGTAAGATGTTGATTCCGATGTTCAAATGTGATGCCACACCATTTGGCGTGGAGGTTGGGTACTTTACTAGGGGTTAGTTATAGGAACTACGATGGATTGTAGTTTAAAATAATATTAAAATAAATACTACACAAAAAAAGTAAAAAAAGGATTGTTTGTAATATATATTATGTACAAAGTAGTAGGCCCTATAGTTCTGATACATTACACAACTGATGGTTTCATAGGGACTTAAGCATTTAAACAGTTTAAAAAAGCCCAACCAAAACATTTTAAGCGTTTTTATCTCACCTGTCTCCAGTAGATGTCAGATGCTGCGTGTTGTTTGATCATCTCCTTAATCCAATGTGTGTTCGTGTCCAGGTAGCCTTGAATCTTTTGACATACTTTTGTTCCATTGCACATGGATTGAATGGTATTGTAGAAGTGGTCGTATACAGCAGCTTGTGTTTCCACACCCTCTAAATATCCTGCAAGGAAAGCTTGTTCTGCATCGTCAATTTCAGGATTAGTTTCAATGTCAAAAGTGTCCCAACTGAAAAAATCACAAGCGTTAATAAGCTTTAATTTCAAATAACAAAACTACAGTTTTTCATATAAGCAGTAATGAAAATTTCCCCATCATAGCTAACCTCTAGACTGACCAAAGCTGTAATTAATCTATTGATATCTGTGGTTGACGCTGTTGAGGAGGTGAAGCAAGCCGTGATGAGAGCTGAGGATTTTAACCACTACTCTCGAAGGGTTGTGCTGCTCGTAACACTCGATGCGCGAAACGCAATTAATTCCGCGAGGTGGTGCGATATGCTGGATGCTCTGGAGAACACCTTCCACGTTCCGGCATACCTCATGCGTATCATAGAGGATTATCTCCGGATCCGCATCCTCGTGTATGACACTACAGAAGGCCCACGGACGATGAGTGTCACTTCCGGTGCTGCCCAAGGTTCCATACTTGGCCCAGACCTCTAGAATGTCGCGTATGACAGCCTCCTGAGGTCTGAAATGCCTGAGGAAACTGTTTTGGTTGGGTACGCAGACGACGTTGCAGTTTTGATAGCTGCACTTAGCGTTGAGCTGGCTCAGCTAAAGCTGAACAGAGTTATGCGTACCATAAATGCATGGATGGCAGACCACGGTCTCTCGCTTGCTTTGAGCAAAACTGAGATCGTGATATTAACAAAAAAGCGGATTGACACCATCGTTGAGGGTAGGGGCCGTCGAGGTCCATTTAGGTTAGGGGTAAAATATCTACCTCGGGATTGTGTCATTGTTTTTCTTTAAAAAAAACCCTTCAAAATGAGGGGTCACTCAATAGGAGTTGTTATTGGAAAAATAAGTCACCCCCACCCCCTACCCTGTTAAAGGGGTTGAAAAAATATTGTTGATGTAAAATATTGCGGAACCTATGTTAACAATCAATTCCACAAACAGAATATTTCTATTTATTTTGGTTTTAAAAATACAGATTTATTTCCATTATTTGTGAAATTGGTGCTTTTTCACATACAGTAAATCAAATTTTGGATTGCCTGCCATTTTGGCTAGGGGTGAGATATCTACCTCGGGTTTGCTTCATTGTGTTTCTTTTGACAAATCCTTCAAAAAGAGGGGTCACTTAATAGGGGTTGCTATTTGAAAAAAATAAGTCACCCCCTACCCACTACCCTGTAAGAAGGTTAAAAAAATATTTTTGATGTAAAAAATTGTGGAACCTTTGTTGACAGTTATTGCAACAAACAGAATATTTCTATCTATTTCGGTTTTAAAATACAGATTTGTTTCAATACTTAATTTACACACTGTATAAGACTATAACTACTCAAGAACAGTGGCAACAAAAAATAAGTTAATTGATTTGAGGAATCACTTACCCAGTTTTCAGATATGTTCTGTTGTACACACTTCTTGCCACCCATGGTTTTGGAGGACCATCTTTACTGTACACTACTCTTTCAGAGACTCCATTGCCTTTAGATGGATGGGTTATCATATACTGCTTACCATTTAGATTCAAACCATTTAGGTTTATAACAAAAGTGGATAAAATAATAAAACCTTGAAGTACCAGTATCATGTTGGTTGACATATCAAACTCTCAAGAGCAATGGAACTGGTGTGTCCTCTTAACCTTTGTATGATAATAGGAAAAAACCTATAAGATAGCTTTTGAAAACATTCTACTGAAAGTCCAAATATATGAATGAGATATCAAAGTTAAAGATTTCAGACTCTCTGTTCTTTCAAAAGAAAAACATATTTTTAAATAAGTTTATCATTATTAAAACAGTTTTTTTTTTTACAAAAAAGAATTGTATATGGTTAAGTGTTTAGTACATAGCATAAATATGGATCTAAGCTACTCTACCAAAATATTACCATTACATCACACCACAAATTATTCTGATGAAATAAGACAAACTAGTAAATAGCCTGCACTGCAATGATACATGTCAATTCAAATTTCAAACACCACAGATTTGGATCAACACACTGATTTAAACTAACTCATCCATGCTGGGTAAGTCAATCACAACAGAACATGAATTATTATGGCTGATGTTTAGTTGCTTTGAGTCACTCAGTAATCAATGACCTTGAGGTATAATGGAAGAGGAGTGGTTTCTAGCTCAGCTGACTTCTGATACTCTCAGGTTTATAAACAGTTAGCCTTCTCTTAGAGATAAGGTTGAGGGTAATGAGGAAGGTTTAGCTAGGATGACTTTACATTTTTTATATTCTACATTAACACTATTTCCAATTAAGGTAATATTCAAAGAAACTCAAACAAAATAAACAATTAATTCTAAAAACAATTAACTCATGGAGTTATTTTAAAAATAGTCGTCCAAAGATTTTCAAAATTATTAGTTTTTAAGTATGTCAAAAACAAAAAATACATAATATGATTTCTTGCTACTCTTAATACTGCTTCTTTGTTTAAAAAATTCTAAAATTATTTAAACATATTTTTGTGTTACTACAACTGTATACGTTAATACAAAGTTTACATACTACAATGTATATATTATAATAGTGGTAAATTACAGCTCACAATTAGAAAAGTGTTAAAGGATTAAGAAGCTATCTAATAAGTGGAATACTTTATCAATAAGAATCTTATGAATATTGGCCACGGTAATATTTGATTTAGTGATTCATATCAATCATAGAAACCAGACTTGAGTTACTGCAATAAAATGTAAGCTATAATAAGATCAACTTCTGAACCCCTTGATATTAAACTATTAACTATTTGACAGTTTCTAGGAGGTAGAACATTTTGCCATTACACAATAAAGTACTATAAGTAATTTCGACATACCCCGTTAATGGTAAAATGTTCTCTTTATCTTAAAACTGTCAGCATGTCTCTGAATTAGTTGAAGTTTGTGTGAGAGGTTTTGTGAACAAATCAGCTATCTGATAATCAGTAGGGCAGTATTTAATTTCAAATAATGAAATGTCACCTCAATGTCTTCTTCCTGTTAAACTTAACTGACCAAATTTGATTAGTTTCATAGAACTTTGATTGTCCACATACAAAGTCACTTTTACTTGTTTTCCCGTTATCTCTTCAATCAAAGTTCTCAGATATGTGAATTCCAGCAATCTGCAGCGGCAATGTACTCAGCCTCTGTTGTAGATTTTGCAACAGTGTTCTGTTTTTGTGATCGCCATGATATTGGTCCTCTAGCATAAATTATAACATAACCAGTGGTACTTTTTCTTTGATTCTTATCACCAGAATAATCAGCATCGCTGTATGCAATAAGTTCAAGTACTTCTTTTTCTTGTTCTTGTGACTTAGAGAACTTTATTCTTCTGTCTTGGGTACCTTTGATATATTAGAGTTGTTTTAACATTTTGCACATCTTCTTTCTTAGGTCTCTCCATGAATCATCTGCTTTTGTAACTAACTGCATATGACAAATCAGGTCTAGTTTTACTTGTGAGATATAGTAAGCTTCCAATAATTTCTCTGTAGTTAGAATTATCATCAACTGTGGCGATATTGGCGATTTTGTGGCGATATTGGGGTTTTAACTGACTTGCAATCTGCCATGTTATATTTTTCCAGCACTTGTTTAGTATACTTCTCTTGGGATTTGTACAAACCATCATTTCCCTTTTTTAATTCCATTCCCAAGTATGTTTTAGGATTTTCATTTCTTGTGATTCCAAACTCCATGTTTAACATTGTTATCAAATGCTCTATTCGTTGTTTGTCCTTTCCAAAAACGATACCATTATCTACATGAATTACGATTATGATTTTCCTTGGTTGTCTTTAAAAATACGTTGATCAGATTTTAGTTGATCAAGGCCTTGTTGTTTCAGAAAGGTTGTAAGTTTTTTATTCTATCGATGCTTTTATTCTAAGAATGGTGCTTGTTTTAGACCATAAAGGGCCTTTTTAAGTTTACTGGCCTTCTCTTTTTCAGTGTAACCTTCCGGTAGTTTCGTGTACATTGTTATTTAATTCACCATGTAAGAATGCTGTTTTTACATCAAACGTTTGCATTTCCATATCTTCTTTAGCAGAAATTGCAAAAAGCAATCTCAGTGCACTTGAATCAACCACAGGACTGAATAAGTCTTTATAATCAATATCATCTGATGGGTTTTGTTGGCATCCTCTGACCACAAGACATGCTTTATACCGACCATCTTCTTTAATTTTAAAAATCCATTTAGCTGTAAGTCATTTTTCTCTCTCAGCTTCTTTTTCATCAACCAATTCCCAAGTGTTGTTTATTTTAAGAGATTGCTTTTTCTCTTCTATTGCTTGCATCCACTTATCTCGATCTGAACTTTTCATCGTTTCACTATATGTCATTAGCACTTGGTCTTCCTCAAAACAGTAGTCTTCATATCTTTTGGGATTTTTTATCACTCCTCTTGGCCGAAGGTTGTATCCTTCTTCTTCCATATTTTGATCCAGGTTTCTATCTTCATTTATAACTCCGCTTTGACTTTCATCATGTACTTCTTGGCTTTCTCTGAGTCTATCTTCATGTATTACTCTTTGGTGTTCTCTTGGTATATCTTCAATTATTACTCTTTCTTCATGTACTTCTCGGTGTTCTATTATTTCATTTTCCCTTTCATTTATTTCTTGATGTTCTTCTACTTCATCTTCCCAATTACTGTGTTCTTCATGTCCTTCTTCAAATCGTTCAACTAGCTGTCACTGATATGTTTACATTGAATGTTGTTTGCAAATACCGCAACCAATTCCGATCACGTTTTGAAAGCAAATCCAAACCAAGTAGCCTAAGATTAAAAACGTTTTTCCTTACATAACTGATTTAATTAATCGCAAGTGCAATAATTTGTAGGGTAACCGTGAATGAAAATAGAGATTCTTTGTGTATAAAATTGTTCTTGAGTATTGATAACCGGGAATAAGACCTTGAATCGGTGTTGTATATGGCTGGGAAACTTATATTTTTTAAATGAGCGTTTTCAGTCGAGACTCGGCACACGACCGACACGCGTCTACATGTCCATATTAAAAATAAAAGTAGGCCTACCGTGTATGTATGTTTTATTCGTCATGTGTATAAGTGTACAGTTTGTGTATGTGTTTCAAAAACTCCAAGATGCACCTAATGGGAAAGCTCAAGACCGGCGGACACAGGTAATTTAACCTTTTATTGATTGTCATACCGATCCGGAACAACAACAAACAACATAAAATGAAGTTATGTTTGGCCAGCATATCTGAAAATATGCAAACCAACTGCTGTTCTTTATATAAGGTTTCGACTGAATACTATAAGATCCCCGTGCGTAGAACGGGTACACAGCTAGTTATGTTTTATATCTATAAATCGTCATAACAAATAAGAAAGTTAAAAAGCAAAAACTTTAATAAATTTAATGTTCATTTTACACAGTTACTATTTATAATGATAAATTAATGTTAGTCATCATTTTGTTGAAATACGCACAAAAGCATATACAATTTAATTTACATTTGAATAATCACGACTGGCTTTTTATTACTCAGCAATCATGTTCATCTTCATAAGAGTCGTTGTTTTCTATTTTCTATTATCTATTATCTATTATAATCCTGAAAACTGTTCAAATATCCATGGCCAGAGCAGAGGCCACACCTGATGGAGCATTTTAGTCAATTTCTCACACATTTGCATCTTCTTTTACAACATCCTTTGTCACATATAAATGAAACCAATCATAGTTTCTGTGGTGCAGGAGGTTGCTCTGTCGTGATAGGTTTGAGATGTCCATTGATAATCCTCCATCCCCATGTTAGTGGATCAAACGGTATATTTTTCCATTCCTGAATTTGGGTATGTGCTCGGAAGGCGTGTTGCTTGGCTGCTTCTGAAGTTGGTGGAAGAGACTCCAACCTGAAAGGATGATTTATTCTACGAGATTCCTCTTCCAGTCATAAATAATAATGTAAACATTTAATTTTGACAGTTTCAGTAGACCTTTGGATACAATTTTAATATTAACAGCTGGTTCATTAAAAGTAGTGTAAAATTATCCATATGGTCATAATGTAAACAAAATTGCTGAGTGAACTTTAAAGGCCTCTGGGGCAGAGCCCCAAGGAAATTTACCTCGTTTCTCTTTTGAGGGCTCACCTATAGACCAATACCTTTCTTTAGACACCCCTACCAAGTTTCTACACCCAGCCGTTCTCTCAAATTGACTGTGACAAAAACCCCGTTTTCCTCCATAAGAATAACATGGGATGGGACTTTAAAGGCCACTGGGGCAGAGCCCCTATGGAATTTACCACGTTTCTCTTTTTATGGCTCATCTACAGACCAAGACCTTTCTTTAGACGCCCCTACCAAGTTTCTACGCCCAGCCGTTCTCTCAAAATAGCTATGACAAAGAAAAACCGTTTCAAAGTTACCGACGGCGGGCCAGGTAGTTGGGAGGGGCGAGGGAGAAACGGGAATCTCTCACATGAACATGGCAATTAGTGTTAGTTAGTTAGTGTAGTTCCAGTGATGGACGCAAATATGTTGCTAAAGCTGTTTGATGATGTCTCAATGAATTTTCAAATACAGTTGTAAGAGCTAAACATATAGAAGGAGCAGACAAATGAAACCCTAATAACATATTCCATATATGTTAGCTGTACCCGCGGGCTTTGCCCCGTTTAACTTTATGAGTGAGCTCGTTTGCATGGCTCAATCACGTCATGGTTGAAGTTCGTTCGCTACGCTCACTCACTTTTAGGTTGGAGCTCGTTCGCTGCGCTCACTTGCCTTCAGGTTAGCTCGTTCGCTACGCTAATTCACCTTCAGGTTGAAGTTCGTTCGCTACGCTCACTCACCTTTTGGTTGCAAATTAGCTGTTGTCATAAATGTAAAAGAAATAATAGTGCTGCACCCTGTTGGTAATCCTTGTAACTTTAATGCTATTGAACATCATAGAACAGAACCAACTTGTTTAATTGAAACAGCTGTTAAGATTCATTAATTCCATTTCAATATGAGTACTCATAAGGTTAACATGGGAAACTCCAGAGCCACTGAGGCGGAGCCCGAGAGTCCGATCAGAATAAAAACAGCTTAGT